CAGATGTGGCTGCTCTGACATAGACTATGTGACTTGGGAACATTGCAATATGGCCTTAAAAACAAAATATCAACCTTTTGGCTTCCTCATTCACTCCCACCCAACCCCTTATCCTCATTTTATAACTTCCATTCTGACAATGTTTTAGTTGAATAAATGAAAAAGGGAATAAATAAGGAAGAAGTCTGGAGGTGTCAGAAGTGAAATGGTAGCCAACAACAAGGCAAGAGTCAGATGCATAGTAAGGGTCATAAAGAAGGCTCAAGAATCAGCAACTAACCAAATATTAGTCTGCCACCAATATTTGGCAATAAAAAACCATAAAGGAAGCAAATGCCACAAAATATCACTACTTGTCAAATCTTGGTAATGAATGTAGGGTGTTTGTAATGCTATTTTTTATAATTTGGTGTGTTTGAAGTATTTGGTTTAAAAAAGAACAATAGAACAGGAACTTCAAATTTCCCTGGTGGTTCAGTGGTTTAGAATCCACTTGTCAAGGCAGAGGACGTGAGTTCAATCCCTGGTCCTGGAAGATTCCACGTACCACAGGGCAACTAAGCCTCTTTGCCACAAGTACTGAAGCCCATGCTCCACAAGAGAAGCCACTGCAATAAGAAGCCTGAGGACCACAACTAGAGAGCAGCCACTGCTCACCACATCTAGAGAAAGCCCGTGTGCAGCAACAAAGACACAGTCAAAAAAAAAAAAAAAAAAAAAGTCTATAGCCAAAAATCCTAAATAAATAAATAAATCTTAAAAGAACAGCAACCTCATAATGATAATACCCTATCAAAATGCATGTAACAAATTGGCCTTGTTCAAATCCCTTTGCTTTGATAGTTTCTGAGTCCCCTCTTTCATCAGCAAGGCAGTTATGGTTTACTGCCATACACAGATGGACCAATCCCTTGGAGAGAACCTGTGAAAATATGCCTGAAAAGACGGAAAATAGTCATTTCACTAGGCTCTGTACTCCTGCTCCTAAGAACTTATGCAAAAGAATAATTCAAAAGAAAAAAGATCTGGGGAATATGTGGATAAAAAATTTAGGGACAAATTTGTTATAATCATGAAAAATTAGGAATAACTTGAGGACCTACATACAGATTTCTCAAGAGGAGGGTCAGGTGGCCTGGTATTCCCATCTCTTTCAGAATTTTCCACAGTTTATTGTGATCCACACAGTCAACGGCTTTGGCATAGTCAATAAAGCAGAAATAGATGTTTTTCTGGAACTCTCTTGCTTTTTTGATGATCCAGCTGATGCTGGCAATTTGATCTTTGGTTCCTCTGCCTTTTCTAAAACCAGCTTGAACATCTGGAAGTTCACAATTCACGTATTGTTCACATATTAGGAATTCCCTGGCGGCTCAGATGGTAAAAGTGCCTGCCTACAATGTGGGAGACCCAGGTTCGATCCCTGAGTTGGGAAGATTCCCTGAAGAAGGAAATAGCAACCCACTCCAGTACTCTTGCCTGGAAAATCCCATGGACAGAATAGGCTGGTATGCTACAGTCCATGAGGTCGCAAAGAGTTGGACATGACTGAGAAACTTCACTCACTTGAGGTCACCATGGGGAAGAGCTCACCACTGCTCCCAGCCTGGTGACACCACTCTCATCGTTGCTGGGATCACTCTGGTAGCTTCCACTGATCTTTCTGCTTCCACCCTATATATGTATAATTTATTCTCTACTCAGCCACCAGAGTGATTCTTTGAAAAGGAAATGAAATCACTTCCCCACTTCAAAATGTTCTCACCACCTTCACTGTTACCAACCCCATTCAGAGCCACCACCTTCCGGGCCAGATGACGGTGATAGCTCCCTATCTGGTCTCCCCTCTCCCATCTTCCTGCCCCTCAAGGCAACAGTGAAAGTGTTCCTTTTTCAAATCATAAATCGGATCATGTCACTCCTCTGTGCAGAACCCTCCAGTGGCTTCCCGTCTGACTCAGAGCATGCCCATATGACTCAGAGCAAAGTCAAAGTAAACTTTTACAGTGGTACACAAGGACCTTATCCCCTTCCAGTCACACTGGATCCTCTTCATCGGCTGTTTCCTCTTCTCATTGTATTCTTTTTCCATATGTCTACATGGCTCATTCCCTCAATTCCTTGAAGGAGTAATTCCAATCTCCGTTTCTCAATAAGGTCTTCATTAACCAGCCGATTTAAAATTATACTACTCCAGACACCCTCATCCTATTGCCCTGTCTTACATTTTCTCTAAGTATTTATTATCTTCTAGACTTAAACTGAAGAAAGTAGGGAAAACCACTAGACCATTCAGGTATGACCTAAATCAAATTCCTTATGATTATACAGTGGAAGTGAGAAATAGATTCAAGGGACTAGATCTGAGAGACAGAGTGCCTGATGAACTATGGACTGAGGTTTGTGACACTGTACAGGAGACAAGGATCAAGACCATCCCCATGGAAAAGAAATGCAAAAAGCAAAATGATTGTCTAAGGAGGCCTTACAAATAGCTGTGAAAAGAAGAGAAGCAAAAAACAAAGGAGAAAAGGAAAGATATACCCATTCGAATGCAGAGTTCCAAAGAATAACAAGGAGAGATAAGAAAGCCTTCCTCAGCAGATCACTGCAAAAAAATAGAGGAAAACAACAAAATGGGAAAGACTAGAGATCTCTTCAAGAAAATTAGAGATACCAAGGGAACATTTCATGCAAAGATGGGCTCAGTAAAGGACAGAAATGGTATGGACCTAACAGAAGCAGAAGATACTAAGACAAGGTGGCAAGGATACACAGAAGAACTGTACAAAAAAGATCTTCATGACTCAGATAATCACGATGGTGTGATCACTCACCTAGAGCCAGACATCCTGGAATGCGAAGTCAAGTGGGCCTTAGGAAGCATCACTATGAACAAAGCTAGTGGAGGTGATGGAATTCCAG